ACTGACCACAGAATTCCATTGCTGTATAAAAGGCTGTACACTTGTGACTTCGCCCAAACTATTTTAAACTTAAGAAAATTGTAGCCCAGTGCAGCTGAGCAAATTGTCCAAAATCACACAGCTAGTCAGACCTAGAGCATTTCTTTATTTTAGCTAGGTTTAAAAAAATGTTTGGTAGACTGAAACTTTTTATACTTCTATAAATGTCACTGGTTTGCAGCTTATTCCTTGCACAACAATCTTCCTAGCAGCCTTATTTGAACATAACTGAACTGTTCAGCATAGTCCTTGCATGACAAAGTGGTCAAGTCTTAATAGTAGCTGAGAATGCATTATCAATCCTTTATTTAGACTGTACAGTCAGGGCAATTCAACTATTAGTCATCCTGACATGTGTTTCAGAACACAACATACTCATGAATCCTGGCAAAAATTTAATCTGCTTCCTGCACCCTCCCACACCACAACGTCTTTCAAATTGCTGATATTTATTTTACAGTTAGAGAAAGAAAATTACTTACAATTTCTCATCTAGGGTACTTGGAAACTTCCCCTCTCAATTAGAAAATGAAGCCACCAATACGAAGTCCTCAAAGTTAGTAAATTTAAAATGACTACAAATTCTATGAAGAAAAGTCGTGAGCACTGCAGTTACTGCCAATAATAAACTGCACTTTGTCTACAAACTAAATAACAATGTTAAGAAAATTCATTTTCATGGACATCCACCACCTCTAGCACACCTCTTCTAGAAAGTACTACTTACTAACTTACTAACTTCATATAAACTGAAAATGAATTTCTAATGGACCTCAACCTAAAACTCATTGCCACTGAATTGGAAGTGAGTCATAGCTGCCCCTCAAGCAGGTTTTCAGAGTATAAATCTCATAGGAGATTGCCCATCTTTCTCCTGCTGAGCAGCTAGCAGATTTGAACCACTTGCCTTTTAGGTTGGCAGCACATCGTTTTACACACTAGAGCACCAGAGCTCCCTAATGATTGTGGTGGTGGCTGTTTAATGGAAAGACGGACCAATTTCCACTCAACAGCATAGTAACTCAAAGTAAAGACGGACTTCTAAAGCTACTCATTTAGAACATTCTTCTCAAAAACAAGTTGTCATTTTATTTTCAAACTCTCCATTTATGTGTTTGCTTAGTTTAAAAGAGGGTGAAAAGACAAACCCAGGGAAGAGATCATCCAGCAGTGATAGTACGATTTATTTTCCTTCCTGTCCTGTATTACTAGGCTAAGGCAGGCTGGGTTGAGGAAGACCGTGGGAATAGCGTCCTAGCCTGGCTTGCTTCCTCCATTGTCTCTGCCACTCCCTTGCTATCTTAGGCAAGGTGTGTGTGGCCAGGCAGCTGAAGACAAGCCCTGCTGTTTATTGCTTAACGGGAGCAAGGCTGCTGGGACACGTGCTTTACGAGAAGTAGTGAAAGGGATGAAATCTAGTTTCTCATTGTGTGGATGCCTCTGTGATATATTTCTCTGGTTTGAGTGACAGTAAGATAATAAACAGCAAATGTTTTCCTCCTGTGGCCCAAAGCCTGGTGGTTATTTCCCTCCATCCCCTAATCTTTGGAAATGAGTGTGTTTTGTTGCGAGACATGTCAGAATGCTCCTTTCACTTTGGATCTTAGGAAGGAGAAGGCTGGGGTAAGCTGAGGGAAAAGGACATGAGAGCTAGGCAAATGACTCTCAGAGTTACACAATGGAGAGTTCCCAAATAGGAAGCCCAGGGAATGATTAATGAAGCAGGAATTTATCCCAACAACCACCACCCCCTTAAAAAAAAAAAAAACCAAAAAAAAAAACACCAAACCAACAAAATACCAAACCAGACTCAAGATACTGATAAGAATTCTTTTATGTTATTCCAATAAAAAATACATTCATACAGAAATATAACAATCTTGCAAAAAACAATTTCAAATAAAATCTTGTAAAACAAAATTTTACAAAAATCTTACAAAGATTCTTTAGATAACAGGGTGCTTCAAAAAAAATAATAAAAAAAACAAAAACAAAAAAAGAAATTTCACTAATAGAAATTTTTTTTTAAATTTCAAGCAAAAAAGTTTCTGCTTGATTGAGGCTCAGTTATCACCTGAACAGAATGTACTTCTTTATGTACTTGCTTATTATGAAAATTATAGGGACTGACATACATGGCACCCAGCCCCACCCATTCAAACAACTCTGATGGTATTTCGTAAGTGAGACAAGCCAGTGCAAGCTTTTTTTTTTTTTTTCCTTTTGTTTACCTTCTTACTTAATGGAATTGTTATGGCTAAGCACACAGCATGGCCAAAAAAGGAGTTTTCCAAAACCCAGCAAATCAAATGCCTGGATTTTGAACTGCCAAAAGAAAAAAAAAAGTGCATTTTCCCCCTAAGCAAAAATGGAATGAGTGGTTTAGGTAAATATATTCATTGGACCAGATAAAAAACCAGTTATGTGAGCTTTAATCATTGCTCATTTCCAGGAAGATCAAACAAAATACCAGCACAGCCAGACTCATTATGTACATATATACGTGCATCTGTATATATATATATATATATATATATATATATATATATATATATATACATATATACAGATGCACATAAATATACACACATACATAAATATAAAAAGGAAAAAAAATCCACACCCACAAGCCAACAGCTGGATGAAATATCAGCTGTCCAGGCTGTGGTATGCCAATTTAGGGAAATTACTCCTTTGAAAAACTGGGAGACTCTACATGCTGGAAAAAATAGCTTCATTTGCATAAAAATTGTTCTAAAAAAGAATCCCTGTAATTAGCTTACTGTTGTTCTGTTAGATCTTCTAATAAGGCTGAAATCCAAAATCAAAACCTTAATGTGTTTGAGTCTAACTAGCGTGCTGGTATTCTGTCCGTGTCGTGTTTTCAATGACCAAAAGGTACCACCGACTCCAGACATGCCCATGATGACAGCACCATAGGCAGCAGTCTGGGGCAGAGTCAAAGCCAAGAACATTGTTAGCAAATCACGAAATGAAAGGAAAAGCCTCTATAAAAATTAGACTATCATTTTCACTTTTACCTCCTTTATGGCCATTTTGGAAATATTTCTTCACAGGCTGTGGAATTTTCTAGCTAAACATTCTAGTTTCTTCTTAAAAAAAATATTTATATATTATCTATATATATATTTATTTATATATATACACATACACATACTATACACACAAATATACATACACAAGAATTCCACCCACTTTAAAAAAAAAGTAGTATACTTTCTGTATTACCAACAGAGAGCTAGATAGATATGTGAAACTTGTGCCTTTGAAGCAAATACATTAACATGGTTTTGTTTTGTTTGTATACTTCTGTATCTTTAATATGTGTGAAAATGTTACATATTAAATACAGCCGGGTGTGTTATCTATACAATTGTTGTGCAAGGTCGGTAGGACAGTCTCACGGTGGCAGTTGGTCGATTTTCTCCATTATGATGTGTTGTTTTCCATTTTAACACTGACAGTCAAATTGTCTAAAGTATTCCACAAAATAGTGTCAAGTTAAGGGAGTTTTCACCTCTCTATTTGTCTTTGTGAAGGAGGACTTAAAAGAGATTTTTTTTTCTGTATTATACATTGGTACAGTACAATGCCAGGTGAAAAAAGAGCCTTAACAAAGCATGCATCACCCAAACCCCTGTATGAGAGACCCCCTCACATAAGGGGCCACTTGCATAAGGCACCATTATTAAGGTCAACAGTGCATTAACAGCTAGAAAACCAGAAATTAGTCCTCAAGGCATAAATAAGAGAAACTTAGCTGCATGAGAAAAAACAGTTTCTAAGCTTTAGTGGTTTCATCCACCCAACTGAGAAAAATTTTAGGTTCTTCATCTAATGTAACATTAGACCAGTAATTCCCAACCCTGGCTTTTCTGACACCCCAACGTGTGTCCAATTTCTTCAAAGGGCATCACAAAATTCTCCAAAAAAGGTAATTCAAAGTCACAATCGTTTCTTTTAAAAATAATTCTCGGCTGCACAACACCTTTTGGGAAGGGCAGTGATACGAAATTGCAGGGAGTAGGGCAGGGAAAAAGAAAAAAATATGTATTGCCAAGCCAAGATGGCTACAAATCACCACCATATTAGACAAAATTGTATCTTAGCTGCTCATCAAATGGAAGTCCAAATTGCAGTCCTGATTTCAAAATGGAAAAGCATAGAGTTCCCCGGAACCATGCATTACTTTTGTATTATAAGGAAAAGTTATAATTGTGTTATATCTGTAAATACACAGCTTATACAATGGGTTACAAATGAGCTCTGTAGCAAGTAAAACAAGCTACTTGACACATTGCACGTTCAATAGCTGCACCAGACACCAAAGGCTCCTCTCATGAGAGGGGCCCCCCCTCCCCACACCCACTTGTCACTCAGGGGTCCTGACTGCCCACCCCCGCCCTCCATAGTTTTCCTGTTTTTTTTCTTTTTTGTATTGTGTTTTTTTTGTGTGATTTTTTTTTTTCCTAAGGTGCAGATACCCCCCCGCCCAGGAAATGATTGGTGGTCATCTCATCTCATGGTAAATACTCCTTACACACAAAAACATTCAAACTCCTCTTTTTTCTGTCTTCTTGCAGTTCAACAACCACAAGAAAAAAAGAGTCGGCCGCATCATACAGTCAGTAATAGATCCTCAACATACAGTCAACCCACCCATTAACATTCTCAGTGCACATGCTCACGGCAAAGGCTTCCGAGCCATTCAGAAGGTTAGGTACGGAGAGTCCAGGATCACCCAAACATCATGCACCATGGTGGCTATGCCGCTTCTTACATGACTTTTTAGCCCTCTAAAGACCTTCCAAGTAGAGGTCCTGGAGGCAACTGGGTAGGGTGCAAAATGGCATGCTTTGGCTGGAACACGCATCCCTCCTTCCAAGGCCGGGTTTCAGCCTTGACGCCTTTTAGCCCACAGGATTCGCCTCTCTCCCCTCTCAGAGGTGTCTCTTCATGTGAAGGGCCAGGTGATCAGACCTGGAAAAACACCTGCCAGAGGAACAAAGACATAATAAGTTAGGAGGCCATCACTCATCCCGTTTTAGGACCCACCACTTCCCTTGCTTGTCTGACTGACTCTTCACCCTGACTAGAAGGAAAGCTCTGGGGATCATCTCTGATTCATTACAAGGTTTTTCAGGGATTAAATAATTCGACTGAAGAAATAGAAAACAAAGGTCTTAAACCAGCAGTTGCTGAGTCTTTAAACAACCAGAAAAAAAAAAAAAAACAAACCAAACGTGTTGGAACTCACTGCCAGCCCTCTAGTGAGTTTTCAGAGGCTTCAAATCACATGGGAGGAGACTGCCCCTCTTCTCCCATTGGTGGATTTCAACTGCCAGATAGATGCCACCTTTGTGTTAATAGTCCAACTCCCTATGTGCTGTGCTAAGAATAGCTCACTCATTGCTGTGGAGTCAGTGGCAACTTGCAGCTGACTCTCCAGAGGGTTTTCAGAGGCTATAAACTACACAGGAGGAGATTACTCATCTTTCTCCTGAGAAACAGTTGGTGGATTTGAACCAACCGCCTTTGGGTGGCAGCACAACTCTACCCATTAGGCCACCAGAGATGCTACTGGAAAATCTTAATAAGGGCAATCTTCAAAGTATTTACACAGACTTTTATTCACATGCACATACAACTTTCTAATTTAAAAGAAAATTAAAAAAGCAAAAAGTAAAGTCTAGTTTCTTACAGGCTTAGATTTGAAAAAGAAATGTCAAACTACTTCAAGGGTGAAAAAAAATCTTACAATATTTACTACATGCCTGCTAGATTCTGGTTACTGTGTGACTTACACCCATGCCTCTGCAAGTGTAGACATTCACATACCTGTCACAGTGACAACATTTAAAAGGCTTGGCACCAGTGTGCTTTCTGAAGTGTCTGGTTAGCTCATCACTTCTTGCAAAACGCCACTCGCATCCTTCCCATGAGCATCTGTAAGGCTTTTCTCCTACAAAGCAAGCACATGACAAGTTAGAAATGACTTCACTGAAACAGTGAGGGGATATGGGTATTACAACCATGCGCCTGGGGAAGTATGCAAATTAATTCATTTGCAAGTTCAGGGTCTGAGAGGCCTCATGAATTCATTTCCACACTTCAGTAAAGGATGGTATCTCATAATAATAACCAGGTAGACAGCCCGAGAGCTTTTCTGCCCTGGCCTCAGTACTTAATGTTGCAGAAGTGACCCCAGGATTGGCAAAAACTGCATGATTGCAATCAAAGAGAACAAGTCAGAATGATAATTACTCAGATTGGTGAAATACTTCCGAGATGATGTGTCAGCCTACTGGACCAGCAACCTTGTCAAGGGCAGCGTTTTTATTGCTTTCTCCATGGAAACTGTTTCTCTCAAGTACTTATTTTGTTTCTTACTCACTTCCCTGTGGAATGAGTCTTTGTAGTTTCCTTTGGGACTTTCTACATTTCTCTAAAACTGAAGTCATTAGTTTCTGTGAAACCCCACTCCAAGAGTTTCAAATCACTTTCTAAATGGCCATCAAACGACAATATGAATGTTCCTCCTCAGTTAAATAAAATCTAAACCTCAAAAGAAATGCCACTAGAGAATATTTTTTTAAAAATAAATAAATAAACCAGTGGCAGAACATGGCACCGGAGATAGACATTGGTCTGATTTCCAAAATCTCTGGGATTACTCACAGCTCTGCCATCAACCTGTATCTTGGCCTTTAAAGAGTTTGCATGAGTTGATCCCATATCCTTGCCAGCCCCTAAAATGTCTGGGGGCTTTACTCAGCTATGGAGATGGCCATAGTAATTTTTAATGGAGCCCATCAAAATGGCAGTAATCCATAAAAGATTTCTTTTTAAGTAGACTCAGCAAACAAAGGCTGTAAGCCATATGGTGCTATGCAGAGAGAAATTCTCAATACGCAGCCCCTGATCAATACTGCTTCTTACAGGGTACATCAGTCATGCTCACGCCTCACACTCTCACTGTAAGTAGGGAGCTAGCAACTGACTATTCGGATCCCTGAGTTTCATTTCTAAAAATGAACGACAACTCAGGATAACACACCAGCCATCTGAAAATGGCTGAATGGGGACAATCAACCCTTAATAAACTGGACTGCTGGGTGGGTGGAGGATGTGAGTGTAGATGGAGAATGTGATTGAGCTCCTTGTTTGTTTAATCTGCAAGTGTTAACCATTCATCCGGCACAAATGTCCAGTCTTTAAGATTCTGCTCTGTACTCCAAGAAGGATCCAGCTCTTTTGTGGAAAAAATGAGGAAGTGAGGCTGTGAATACTGGTAAGGCTCTAGTATGACGGCATCAGTGAAAGCTCTGGGCTCTTACCCAAGGCCTCTGTAATTCAGTGACACCACCACCACGGGGGCATTGAGACCCCAGTGGTCCCAACTTCTTTGGTCCAAGTAAGGGTACTGACCTGTATGAGTGCGCTGATGTGCTTTCAAATGGGAGCTTTTGGTGTAAACTTTTCTGCAGCCATTGAAGTGGCACCGGTGGACTCTCCTCCTGCCATCTGGGGACGAGTCACCATTGCCCTTGTCACCAGGCTTTCCCACAGTCCCACTACGGATTTTACCCGGAGAATGCAACTCCCCGGGGATACAATTCCATAGTTGGGAAGGCTCTCGGCTCAGTTCTGGAGAAGAAGGAGGAGTGGAAGTGACAGAGGAGCTCAGGTTTCCTGAATTGACTAAAACTTCACCTATTGGATCAGAGGTAAATTTAGTAGTAGGTGAAAGTTCTTCTGAGCTGTCAGATGACTCACTGCTCACGTCCGAATTTAAGCTATTGGTCTCTATATTGAAACTTAAACTCGAGGTGATAAGACTGTCCTCTTGAGGACTGGAAGAAATCTTCAGTTCAGAGTCCTCTTTTTTCTCCCGAGCCAGGATAAATTTGGTCCACAGGTCTTCCTGGCTGTCAAATTTGATCTCTGATGCTGATACATAACAAGGTTCACTCTGGAGGTAACGTTCCAATTCCAGGCAGGTCTGTGCAAAAGGAATCAAAAAAGAGGGACAAGATTGTCACCATTGCTGAGAATGGAACCAAAAGCACATTTCCAAACACATGCAGGAACGAAAGAAGAACAAATAAAGTGGTGCAGCGTGACTGCAAGTGGAAACCCTTTGAAAATCAAAACTTAAAATTAAAAATTAAAATTAGAAGAAATTTGTTTCTAGGAATAACTTGGTAACTATTCAGAAGGGGGTCGGGGCAGGGAGCAGAGAGTGAAATTCTCTTGGCTTTTCAAATATTGGCCTAACTGCCCAAATGAGTGATGATCACTAAGCCAGTTTTTGCTATAGTTACAGGGTTGATATTTCTAATGAGTTTCCTGTAAACCACACAAAGAAAGCAAAGAGTCATTCTCACATGCACACACACACACACACACACACACCAGGTTTAACCAGATTTACTGACATTCTCAAGAACCATCTTTATTAATGCAAGTCAAAGCCATTCACCCTTCACATGCTAACAGATATTCATACAGCTGACAGAAACACAGCATTGCACACAATGTGGTGCGACAGCCTCCCTTGAAAACAGAACTGACAGCACAATGCCACACTGGGGCAGGATAGCAGCTAGCTGACAATCTGCATTCAGTGACATCAATGTAGTTGCAGATAAACCACCCATTTCCTGTGTATCAGAAACCCAAGAGGCTTTCAAAGAATGCCATTTCCAAGTGAGGGGCCATGCACGCCACCCAACTTTAATGACTTTTACATAAGTCAGAGGCAAACAAGGAACTTCGACAAGAGTCGAGAAATCATTCCAAAAGAGCCATATGCTATTGTAAAGGACACAGGAGGGGAAATTACCCCATGGCCCTGCTGGGAGTCCCACAATGAACAAGAACTTTATCTACTGGCCAAGAGTACAACTGTATGAGTCATCACTCTATTTCTTTCACGCAATGCCAAAGGAGACTTCCTTTTGAAATTCTGACCAATGGCCAAAAAAGTACTCGGTTCAAATATACATGCAGTGTATCATGTGAAGAGCGGGCCCCCACCCCAGCCCCCCACAACCAACCTTTCAAGAGGCTACAACTGCCGAGATCAGCATCCCCTCTCCCCACCATTTCAAACTTTCTAGCCACTGGAAAAGAAAAATGGTAGGATATATTTTAGGATTCAATTTTTTTTCTTTCCTCATTTCCACCAGGATAAGTTGCCTGTATGTCTATATAAGGTTGTCTACAGGACTGGCAATTCCACACATGTAAATTACTACAGCAAACTCTGCCCCTTTAAGCAAATCATTTACAGGGTAGATAACCTGCCTGGCTTTAAGCAAAGCCGAGCTCACTCTTAGCCATGTGCCTTCTCTTAGAATATAGTACAGGTTCTTCCCTCTTTCCCCACAGACTTGTCACATACCAAGCAAAGGGGTGGTGGTAGCAGCAGTAATTGTTTTCTCTTTACACTTCAAATTAGACATCTACGTTGCAATACATACTGGTGGCTTCTGAAGGGAGGGGGGCAGCAGTATACTTTATTGATACTCCATAGAAAAAACGAAAGCATCATTTATTGAAATCTGGTTAAACTTTAATAATCTGGCTAATTTAAAATCTCCATTATGTAGTGAGCACGAGGGACCAGAAAGCAGCGCTGGGTGAGTTTAAATGCCTCTGAAGGCGACCAGGAGCCAATCTGGCTTTTTGCCCAAATCCCAAATGCCTGAAGGAAACTACTTAGATCAATTTCAATCACGTACTATGGAGCAGCTTCTTTGAGAAGGAAAAGGGGGGAGGGGAAGAGTAAAGCGAGAGGATTGTGAACAATTAAGCAGGCATGTGAAGGTTGCAACATTTTGCATTTCATCTGCCTTAAAAGCTTTCTAGGCTTTGAAACCACCAGAATGTATTTGATCTGGTAATTCACTGGGTGACAAAAAAAAAGCAAAAAGCACAGAAGACACCCACCCCCTCCTCCTATCAGAGACAATAGGACAAGTGTCAGTGTCTCTCTCCATCTCAGCACTCCTACAGATTATAGGGGTTAAGAAATAAATTTCAATTCTCAACGTCAATAAAAAAATTCCAGTTCCACTACAATGCCGGAAATTGAGCTGCCTCTTCCCAAACTAAGACTCGAGGCAATTAAGCTCATTGTCATATGACTGGCAAGTCACTGGTAGTGCAAACATTCCCCCCCCCCCCCACCATGGTCAACAAGAGAAGCAGGTAGGAAAAATAAGTCAAGCTTTCCGCAATTTTCTTAGGGATTCCAAAGAGGGAAGAGGAATTGGAAATGGCAGAGAGGGGAAGGGAAGAAAAAAAAAAAAAAGAGCTGTTATCTTTTTTCCACTGGCAAATCTTTACATTTAAGATGTGTTTGGTACGAGCACCAAATCGCAAAACAAAAACAAGATCCTTTTAAAAAAACACAACAAACCCTTGGCAGTCAAGACAAGTTCATATGACAAGATCCAGCTGTGGAGTTTGGACCTGGTACAGCACAAAACTTCTGCCAAGGGCTCGGTACGGGATCGAGAGAAAAGCAAAGCTGAGGAGTTTGGCGTTTCACTCCGGTGGTTGCTGTTCAGAAAATCCAAAACGGCAAAAAACACTTTCGGAACAACGAAGCGTCGCTCTACATAAATGACAACTCCGCTCAGGGTTGTAAACAGCCTTTTTAAGTGCCTTCCCAACCAGAGGCATTAAGACGAAATTTAAAAACTAGTTAACTTCATTTTTTTTAAAAAATTACCCAAACAATAAAAAAAAATAGTAATACACCTCCGATAACACACCATCTTACTTTCCTCCTCCATCCACTCCTCCCTCAGTGTACCGGGGACACTGGGCATTCTTTTTAACTCAGCGCCTTGTATATTAAAAATCCCTATTTACCTGTTGCCAATATTCTTCCAGGGATGGTAAAGCTGAGAAGTAACCCGTTTCATGCACAATCTGGAGTTCCTGGAAGATGCTGCACATTGGGAGTACATCCATGTCGGGTTGGAAAATAAAGTCAATTCTGTTGTAAAAATAGGGAGGTGTGTGGTCTGTAGTCAGAGAGATGTAAAACTCTCTCCCGAAATCACAAGAGTCAATTCCTGCAGAGGAGGTGAAAGTTTCATGCAAACTCAATTGCACAGCAATTAGACGCCTCAAATTCGGATTCTCCTGGATCACAGAGACTTGCTCAGGAACCTACACAATATTTGCAAACACTGAACTGACTGCAAACGTAACCCCTGCAAAACTTCCCTATTCAAAGCTCTTCTGCCAGCCTCTCCCCCCTCCCTCCTCCTCCTTCTGCCTTGGCTCCCCCCACTTCTCCCCTCCCCCCACGTGACTAGCTCTGCCCTGGCCCTGCGAGCGGACCAATTGCGGAGAATCCATCCTGGAAGTTGAGCGCCTATGATGTCAGTTTCGACCAATCGTCGGCTGCAATACACAGCTGCCCCGCCTGGCGTGACCGAGCCTCTCCATCACAACCTTTGCTATTGGCTTAATTCGAAATTTCCCCGGGTCTGATTGGTAGGTGGCCTCGCAGGCTATTTTTAGCAACGTATATAAGGCGCGGGCTCCCGTGCTGCTGGAGGAGTCTGTACTGTGTGGTAGTGCTGCGGTATAGGGCTTCACTGCTGGCCGTGGCCGCTGAGCGCGTGGCTGAGCCACGGCCGGTCAGGGGAAAGCCACGGCCGTCTTGACTTGCGGGAGAGCCCCGGGGGCTCCGTCGCTTTCGTTTCTTCCAAATCTTCCCCAGATTCTGTCATGCAGCTATCGCATCAGCGCTAGTTCCCGACAAAGCACTTCCGCGGGCCAGGCTGCCCCTACGGCTCCCCGACGCGCCTCGGAGCGCTCCGCCAAGCGAAGGGTTCAGGGCTTGCGGCCGGCCGAGCGCTTCACCCTTCCGCGTACAGTCCGCGCGAGACTCGCGGCCCCCGGGCTCGCGGGCTCCCCTAGGGCCGCAGTCGGGTAACAGCACTGGCTGACTCCGGGCGTCCCGGAGCCGCGTCCATTCGCGGCTTCCTGCGGCTACTAGCAGGTCTCCTTCTTCGGGCTACCCGTCTCTTACCAGCGGGCCCACTGTCCCCGGCTCTGCCAGGAGCTTCGCCCAAAGGCTGTGGGCAAACTCGGGGAGACGGATCGGAGACTTAAGGACCTCCGAGTCTCATGACTTACAACAGTTTTGTGCGGGGATTGGGGGAGGGGGGTGCGCAAGAAGGTTAAGTCTAACGGACCAACTCTGTAAAATACATTAAATCCCTGGGACAGATAGTATTTGAATCTTTGAAGTTCGATATGAGCTGAGTACGAGGGAAGTGTATAAAATAACCTTTTTGAAAGTCCCTCTAAAACATTCAGCTGAAATAAGGGTTTAGAAAGGCTGGACTGAACAGATTTTAAAGCGTTCAAAACCCCACACCTGGGTGAACGCGCGATCCAGGAACCTCAAAGTGTTTTGGAGCCTAGTTTATTTGCATAACCTGCGAGAGGAGGGTGACTAGCGGGGTTGGGCAAACTTGTTGGCAAAAAGGGTAAAACAACCGGTGAGGCTAATTTTTGGTCTGCCAACACTCCTGGTGGGTTTGTTTGAAAATAAACTCTTGGTTTTACACTGCATCTGCTGCAATTGATTCTGCTTTAGAAAAAAAAGATGTCTTATAACTGGCACACACAACTCTGGTTTCTGGACAAGAACAGCCTTGGCATTACCAAATTTCAGGGGGAACACCAGCAATTGTGTTTTAACAAACCCTACAGGTCATTCAGGGAACTCTGGTGGCCTAGTGACAAGTCCCTGCGCTGCCAACCTGGAGGCAAAGGGTTCGAATCCACCAGTTGCTCCACTAGAGAAAGGTTGACAATATCCTTTGCCTTTGAAAATCTGGCAGACGGTCAACTATGAGTCCGTTCTGACTATAAAAACAACTAGTACCAGGTAATTCGATACATCCCATACCCTAGTTTGAAAAATCAATGACTTAGAACTAAAAATATCTTATTAGTTGTTACCCACCTATGTACATACAGACCCCCCCCACCCCACTGGGTTATGAGGGCAAATGATCCATCCCTAATTGTGTCTAAACAAATCTTTCAATCGAATTTGTAGGTAAATCAGAACAGGTGCTTATCATTTTTATTCAGCCTTTACTGCAAGAAATGACTCTTAGCCTTTTTAATCATTTAAAAGCTATACCTGCTACAAGTGAGGATGATTACAAAGAAGAATTCTCTATAAGGTGTGGCATTCTGTTTCCTTAAGGTCTATGGATTTGGAAACACTGTGGGGCCATTCTGCTTTGTTTTGTAGGGACACTGTGAGTCCTAATTGATGAATTGGGTTTAGTTTTGTTGTTAGAGGTTGGTTCCAGCATTTTAAACGAAGGGCAAATTTACATAACAAGAGGGGAATAGGAATTGTCCTTAAATTGAGCATTCTTGATCCACTCCTCATCTTCATGCAGTGAGAATTCTTGGTTCTCATTATATGAGAACTCAGAATATACTTGTTACAGGGAGAAATCTGTTTATCCCGTAGCACAGCAGTATCAAAGGCACCCCTCAAGGTTAATAAAGAGGCTTTTCCCATGAATGTGTAAACAATTTAAATTGTGTTGAAGCTGAAATTCAATGTGTATTTTTCATTTAAATTGTGTCCTAAAGTACATTGGAATGTTTGTTTTGAAGAAAATTACCAAGAAGAATATGAAGAGTGTGCTCTTTTAAATACAAAATGAAAAATGGATTATAACTATTGTTAGAATGTTTTTGTTCCTGAAAGGTACAAACCAAATACTCAGACAAGTGGGAGGTTTGGCCACTCTTACCTGGATGCACCTGAGAAGGCCTGACAATCTACTTGCAAAAGGTCACCAGCTTGAAAATTTTATTGAGGACATAAAGTCCTCAGGAATGACAAGAATAACAATTATAATCTGTTTCAAGACAGAGTTTGTTGTTGTTGTTGTTGTTGTTAATCTTATGTGACATTGAGTCGCCTTCCACTCATAGCGACCAGCCCTAAACCTTAATCTATCCTGTGCCAAACTTGGTGTCTCTGACACACCTACCCCAATTACCGAAGTCACTGAATCAATCGCTCTCATCCAAGGTCTTCCTTTCTTGCACTGTCTCCCCACTTCCCCCCACCCCCTGAAGCATGACACCCTCTCTGTGGGCTGGTCTCGCCTTGCAACATGTCCAAAGTATGTCAGACAAAGCTTCAGAATCCTTGCCTCCAAGGAGCAGCCTGGTGTCACCTCTCTAGGACGAACCTCTTTGTTCTCCTAGCAGTCTGTGGTATATTCAATGCTATTCTCCAGCACCACAACTAAAAAGCATCAATTCTCCATCATCTCTTGTCCAGATTTTTCATGCATAGCTAGTTATGGTCTGGATCAGGTGCACCCTAGTCTCCAGACTGATATTTTTGTTCTTCAGTACTTTGGAGAGGTCTCTGACAGCAGATTTTCCCAAGGCAATTCATCTTTTAATTTTCTGCCTGCTGATTCCAAGAGTGTTGATTGTAGAGCCAAACAAACTAAAGCTATTAATAATCTCAATCTCTTCACCATCTCTTGTGATTCTGTCAATCAGCCCAGTGGTGAGAATCTTTGTTTTCTTGATGTTGAGTTTCAATCCATATTGAAGGCTGCAGTCCTTGACCTTCTGCAACAAGCGCTTCAGATCTTCTCTGTTTCAGCAAGTAGTGTTGTGTCACCTGAATAATGCAGTTTGTTGATTTTGTTCTACAAAACAAAAATAAATTTTAAAAAGATACCGTTTTCTGCATATCCTTTTAAAAGTTGTTAATAAAAAGAAAGTGTGAAAGAGTTTTGAGAGGACTCAGTGTTTTAACCTTTGAAAGACTAAAATATGCCATAATTATGAGTCAATAGAATACTAGGCAGAAACCTTGCTTGTGAGTCAAAAGTTATAAAAGATCATGGTTTTATTGTAGGCATACTATGTAGTCTGTGAGGATGACCCAAATGAAGTAATAAAAATTACCATTTCTTATCACAGTTTTATGTGTTCATCATAGTTGTACTTCCATCACAATGTTTGCGAGTTCTATCAAATGACTGGGTGGGTTTTGCAAATCAGGTAAAGGTAGCCCACCAAAGGGATTAAATAGTTTACTAATAGTGTAGATAAGGTGCTCTCGACACTCATACATGTGGAACAAGTACAAGGGACAAATCCCTAACAAAGGGATTTGTCAGTTTTGCATTTCAGTGCAAAGACGGAGATGGAGAAATGTGAGGGATGAGGGGTAGGAAGCTCTACCCCTCATTTGGTTGTGTTATAACCAAAGAAGGCGAGAGAGGAAAAGAAGGTTGTAATCCTAGCAAGAGTGACAGTGTAGTGTGAGGCACTGGAGGTTCTTGCTTTCCATCATTTCTAGTGCATTTTGAGAAAATAATAAACTCCATATTGCATGATCCATATTCTCTGCATATCTCTACTTGTCCATCTCTTTTTCAGTTGTCTATAGCTTCATTTTCGGAGAGTCAGAACCACCATTCTGTGTGATTGCCCTCATTTCATTTTCACATTCTTAGATGATGTATCTCTTATTTTCTCCCTTCCAACTCGGTCATTTTGTCACATGCCTACCCTTTCTGCCTCCATTTTTTTCTTCAATCCGTATTCTTCTGATCTATATGTACTTACTTTATAAGCACTAAGATGTTATTGTTGCTGTGTTTAGAAAAATCTATTACTCAAAATAAAATGTACGTTTTCAGCCCAACTGTAACCGTAATGATTTTAACATACTGAGTTTGAGTGATTTTGATCTACTTTTGCTTCTAGATAATTCAAGAAGGCTCCTAAAAAGAGTTTCATTACTAGATGATCCCAGTAATGTCCCCAATTATAATGGCAGAGCTTGTGCCAACTCTTGGGCAAGCAGCCAGGTTGGTTGGTTTGTTTTGTGTTTGTTTTTCTTTGTTTCATTTGTTTATTGTGTGTCATTACCAATTTTTGCCTGT